TTAGCGGGGTTTTTTAAGGGTAATTTTAAGGGTAATTTTAATGATTGGCCTTCTTAAATATTTTCTTTTAATTCGGTTTTTAATATAGATATTATTGTATTATTGTATTGTGGTTTTTATGAGGCTGTTAGCCGCCCTGAGTCCTATGAGGAGAAGGGCGGGGTACAAATTAAATTATTATTATTATTATTATTATTAACAGAGGTGGAAGAGACCTTCTAGTCAAACCCCCTGCACAAGCAGGAGACCCTATACCATTCCAGACATTGGTATTCTTCCTTTTAACAATTAATGTAAGGCAATTAAATTAATTATAATTTTTGTATTTATGAATTTATCAAATGTATATGACTGCCCATCTTATAAGAAGTGATTCTTATACTATACATTATAGTATACATATGATAAATTGATAATTGATATTATTAATAATTGATATTATTAATTAATAGTTAAATAACTATTTAATTATTTAATACTCTACATTAAATTTTAAATCCACTGATTTATATTGTATAAAATTGATGAGTCAATGAAAACCAAGTTATTGTAGTAATGTAACAGGCATATTTTCATTTGAGAATCAAACCTGATATTTAGAGATAGTACTTTCTTTCAGTCTTCAGCTTCCACTTAAACCTGCATGGTGTTGAGTATAACACTGTGGTTGAGGCGTTCCCTTGCCCCCACTCTGAATGTCTGTTGATATTGCACACATATATAAAAGATATGGGGCTTCAATTAGGACACTATATCCATTATCTTACAGATTTTGATATCCTTCTGTGGACACCCATGCTCTCAGTTAAACTACATGGATATTAAATATGGCAATGCTATTCCTGCCTATTCAAAAATAATGCTGCTTAACTTAATTGAGGTACAGTAACTTCTGATAGGTTAGATTGTAGATTAGTTCTTTGATGAGAAAGTCAACCAGAAGACATAATACTGAATTCAAGATTGGACACCAATAGTTATTTTACATATCTTTGGCTACTGAATTCTATTTCAAAAGCTCTAGTTGAATTCAGTTAAAATTCTACAAAGAAAGAAAAACAGAATAACAGATTTGGAAGGGATTTCTTCTACAAAGAAAAATTTGCAGTCTAACACATCTCTAATGCATGCCATCTACTGCACACTTCAATCATGCATACCATCTACCGTATCTGATAATCATTAAAATTATCACAAGGCAAAACAGAAGTGAACAAAAACCAAGTGAACAGTGAAAATCTTTTAAACCAAGATATGATCAGATAAGGGAAGAAAGATGCTTAGCAATTCCTTCTGATCAGAGAGGCTACATAAGAGTCAAGTATGTGTAGAATGTTGCATACAAATGCAGTCTCTTTGGTTCCTGGCCAGTTCAAATCCAGGTCTGCATTCGCAGTCCACTCCTCCTTTTGGCGCTTCTTTGCAGATATGGGCACAACCATGATCCTTATTCATGCAGCTCACCCCTTCTACAAAACAATCAGTGTGGATGTATCAGTATTCTCTAAGCTTTTAAAATACAGGCAACAGATTTTAGATATTTAGACAATCTACCTCATATGAAAAAAGGAACAAAGTTTATATACCAAGAGTAGAAATATAACATTAAGGACCTCCATCGAAGTTTAACCAAATTTATAAATCTATTATAGTTTGTAAAGAGAAAAATGGCACAAATGGGGAATTAATTGTGGATCAGTGTTACCTTCACAATGTTTCATGGAATAGGATGAGCTGAGAGAAGTGGGTTGGAAGATATATAAGCAGAAGATGGATTCTCAATGTATTTCAAATATAGCATACCTCAGTAAATACTTCATTCCTAATAATATATATATTCTTGAAGAGGGCAGACAGCTAACAGAACTCAAGAAGTTCAATAAACTTTTAGAGAATATCAACCTGGTCACTATACATACCAAATGTATATATATGAGTGAGACTTGATTTTGGTGGATAGGTAATTTTATGGCCAGTCTTTAACATGGACCAGATAAGCATATCTAATTTTGGAAGATTCATTTACTGAAAGTTTGGTCTTCTCTAAAAGACTTGCTACTGGTTCATGAACCTGAATGTAAAATTAGGGAGAAAGTCTCCTTGAAATTCATCCTGATATCAGCTAAACATGGAGAAACATACCCACTATATAAAGAATGAAACAGCTTGTTCTTTCTCAGTCTAAGAAATGTGTAAAAACTTCCTGCATCTTCTAAAAACAACATTTATCCAAGGAAAGAGAGTTACTGATTTATTGTTAGCTGAAGAAGAGGGAAAATAATTCATTCTAAATATGTAGACACATGGAATTATCCCTTATTCTGTTTTATTTCTTACAACAGACTCAATCAAGCAAACACATATTTCTTAAAGTCTAGATTTTTCTTTATTATCGGCATCTAATCAAAGAGACTTAAAGATTCTAACTCTTTGGGGATATTTTGTTTTCTAACAGACATAAGAAGAGTGGCTATATAAATGCTTTAAATAAAAAAATAAAAAATATTTTACCCTCTGTCCATTAAGTCAAACAATGCACATAAATAAATATTCAATATAGAATCATTTTTATAATCTGAGGGGTAGGTGTAGTTTTCGCTGTGAACTTCCAATTAGGAAAATAATTATCTGAGATGGCTCTGCCTTTTTTTTTAGTATTTTGCAGTATGCAAACAATTATCCCCATTTAATATAAGAAGAAGCAAGTCTCTCAGATCGAACATAAACAAAAAAGAAACAGATTCTATGAATTCTGGAAATGAAGAGTTTCCAATATCTTTTCCCATTAAAGTAAACCTTCAGAGCAAGGGGTGAGGGAGAGAGGAAACATCTAAATCCACAGGGCATTCAAAAAGGTGCAGACATATGTGGGACTAATTTACAGGCTACCTAATAATGATGCATAATTCATTATGTACATCAGGAGCTCCTCATTCCAGCTTGAAAACAGTGTAGTTAAAACAATGTATAATGCATTCCAAATCAAGCTGTCCTATCATTTGTGAATTAAGTTTTGTTTGCTATTACTTTCCTTATCCCAAGGAAAAACTGTGACGGACATCATGTCCTTAGAAAATTCTGCAGCATTTTAATAAGCCATGCTTTCATTCCAACATACTTCTTCTAAAGTGACTTTGACTAACAAAGGGATAGCTACTATATTGCTTTGATTATTCTGCTCTACTGGTTCCTTGACTCCTTTCCCACAGTGAGAAAACTAGGAATACAATGATGTCTTCGCCCCTCCAGAAACACAAAAGACACAAAAATCCATATTAAACCTGCAAATCACTATTTTCCTGTCAGTCCGTCTTTTTCTATTACAAAGGATCACAAATTAGTCTTATTAACTCTTCTGTTGTGTGGCATTTGAAAGGTTCAACATGCCATGTGATCATCAGTTAGCTAAAAGACATATAAAAAGCATTAAGAAAA